GCTGATCAGTTTCAGCAGCAGCTGACTTGGGGATGCCTGGGGTTCTTAAGTTGAATCTGTATGTAAGTCAGAACTGGCGTCCAGATTCAGCCACTGTTGAAACTGATCAGTTTCAGCAGCGGCTGAATCTGGATGCCAGTTCCGACTTACATACAGATTCAACTTAAGAACAAACCTACAGTCCCTATCTTGTACGTAACCCGGGGACTGCCTGTACTTATTTTATAAGAATTTAGTCACAGAAGTGTTGGGAGACACGCCAAAGTCACATGGTGAGTAAGTAGCAGAAGTAGGTAGAGAAACCAGGCCTAGGAATCAACTCCTGGTCCCATGCACAGACCACACCTTTGTGGCTGTCCAGGTTCTAGAATTGCATGTGCTGTATACCAAAGATTATGAATCACACCTTCTACCTTTGTGGTCTTTTGTAAATAATCTCTATTGATCTTGACTTAATCCTCAAAGCGAATAGTCATTAGTAGTGTTGGGAGAAGAAAAGTAAAGCCTTCCCAGAACAACCCTCCCTCAAACTCCATTAACTACTTTGTGTATACAAGGTACAGGGTGAATCCCTGTCCATCTTGGTCCTTTACTGTATCCAAGATGTAGGGATAACATATTAATGTATTGAAAATGATTCCCCCAAATGGAAGTGACTCCCCATAATTTGTTCCCCACAACTTAAAAGTGTTTAGATTTATTATTAATTCTTCTTATTATTATTATTAGTTAAGATTGTTAAATGTTTAGATTAATTATTATTATTGCCCCTTTAGAATATAATGTATTAGGTCATGTAACTTAGATCTGTTAAGAATATAATCCTATGTAGCCAGAAACAGCCCCCCCTCTGTGTCCCAGGGCATGCTCAAGCTTGTGGCAAGGGGCTGCTTGAAATTGACATTGCATAGATACACTGTAACAATGCATTGTCAAGCCACTAACTCTGCTATGGGAGCAAAGCCCTGTAATTGACTAAGGGCATTGTTACATAATTGACACCTGTTCTCTTTAAAGCAACTGTAACTAACTCAGCACTCAGAGAATGTTTCAAGAAATGCCACCCAGAAACTTGTGACTTTTTTTGTAACTACAATTCTTGAATATGTAAAAGTTGTTATTATACAAAATACTGTATGGGAAACATTAATTAGGGAATGTATGTAAGAGAGAGAGAGTGCTTGGATGATGAATGGATGGTTCTGAGAGGTGCCAGCCTGAGAATACAGCAACAAAGGGCTGAAGAAGGCGTCAGGTGCCAGTGCAACCAAAAGGTGTCAAGTGGAGAAAACCAAGTACTAGAGGTCCACCTGATGAAATCACTGACGAGCACCTGGCAGCCACCCTCAAGACATCAGCATGATGCAGCAATTTCCATAGACTGGCATAAGAAGAAATTCCTATAAGAACTGGACTAAAAAACTATGGAATCAGAGTCCAAGGTTCTGCTGCCAGCCTACCAGGAGCTTCAGATGCGCATCTGATCAGGACTTCGCTCCCCACTACCATCACTTGTGTACGGAGTACCTGGCCAGTATTCTGTCACAAGCAACTTCCAGGCTGGTAACTATAACAAATACACAGAACCTGAATGAATGGATGAATGAATGTTTATATGTATAAGGGTTAAGTAGTTAAACAACGTTGTTTGCTTCTATCTTTTCTTTATTTTTTTATTATTATCTTTACAATAAATGTGGCTTTTTGCCTTATCCCCCTCATAAGATCCTGCTTGCTTTTATTGGTACAACAAAGATAGAGAGAAATTTTCCCTCTGTTACTTCCCATCCCCTAGGTAACCAACTGAGCTATGTGTCCGTACCTTGATCAGAGTGTAGAAACTCCCCAAGCTGCAGCAGACACGACATTCCAGCATCTTGTCATCATTGTTGTGTGCATAGCGCAGGGCTTTCTCAAAACACTCTAGTGCCTTCTGAAAGATGCTGAGGCCCAGGAAAGCATTGCCCATACTGAGGCTCACCTGGCCATTCAGTTGCAAGCTCACAGTGGTGCCTTGCATGTTCAAGCACGTCTTACAGTAAGAGATGGTTTTCTGGAATTCACAGAGTTTCTCATTGCTCCGAGCCAGGTTCAGGTAGCTCTCCATAAGATAGTCAGGGTCCTCTAGCTCCCGAGCTGTGTCAATCTGCACAACTGCAAACTTTCAGCAGAAAAGAGAATGTTTATAGAGTCTCTCTGTAGGAATAAAGCTTGTGCTTACAAATGAATTGTACCTTGCAAATAAGTAGTTACATTGCCTGTAGTCAGGACAAAAGAGTCCAGCAGGATAGCACTGATTAAGTACTCAAGAGGGCAGGCTATGAGGTAGGTTACACAGCATACAAGTAGACTGGCAAAACCTCTCTCTATTCTCTACCTTTGGAAGAGGGAAGAGATCTGGGTTAGAAATTAATGGGGAGAGCTGCCAAATGGCCATGGAAAGAGGCATCAGTAGGAAAGAGACATTTCTGCGCTGTACTCAACTTTTCCTACACTACTCCTCCAATCTTTATCCCCATGCTCCTCAGTACCTCCCAGAATTAATTTTGTGGAGGATTTAAGATTGTAGTAAATATTCTGCTAAGCACTAGAAATTGCTTCTATCAAGATTCTTTCACCCATTCATTCTCTGCTTTTATCAAAAAGCAATCCAATATGTTTCACAAGGTTTGCTCTTCATAAATGACTTGCTCATTGCATATGGCTCAAGCACCTTAGTCCAAGTCTCATTATTTAGACTGTAAACTGTTCCAGGCAGAGAATGTCTTCTTCTGTGTCTTGTGATGAATGAAGTGCAACATTGCAGCTGAATTAATAATTGCAATACCAAGTGCTTAGTATTGTCTGAGTGGTTTACTATTTTATTAGAGATTCAAGTTAGAATTACTGGATTATAATTCTTAAGGGTCACTTTTATTTCCCTTTTTGAAGACTGGAACCACACTTGTTTTTTTCTAACCTGGAATAGTGATTATCAAATTTCAGTCTGTAGCCACCTTGCAGGTGGACCACAGCTCAAGGATCGGTCCCCTCCAGCCAAGAGCCTCTGCTGACACTCCAGACCCATGGTCCCCCCACCTGTGAAGTTGAAACACCAGCACCAGTTTCTCACTGAAGGGGGTAAGGAGAACCCTGAGTCTTGAAGGTCAGATCTGACTTGCGCGGACAGCAAGCAGCTCCACATGCTGCCGCTCCCCATTCACCCAGCTGGGAGAACAGCAGCAAGGAAACCACTCACCTGGAGGCTTTCCCTGCTTCTCCCATTGGCTGGAATTGCAGCCAACGAGAGTAGTGGGAGGCAGTGCCTGGCAGCAGGAGGGGACGTGGAGCCAGGTAAGTACCCCCATCCTCCTCATGCCAAGACCCTTGTCCTCATGGATCCCCTCAAGCCCGCTCCTGCATCTTCCCTCCCACCCAGACCCCTCACCTCCAGCTTGCTGCTGCCCACACCCTTCCCCCAGCCCACTTCTGCACCCCCACTTCTAGAGCCCACTCCTTCACCCTTCTGCTCAGACCCTCACCAGGTCCTGCATCCCACCCTCAGCCCACTCCTGCACCCTCCCTCACTCTGGCCAGACCTTGCACCCAAACTCCTGGCGAGACCCTCACTTCCAGCTTGCTTTAGCACCCTACCACCCACACAGACCCTCAACCCTCACTCCCTCCTGCACTTCCATTCCTATCCCACTTCCTGACAGCCCCCACGTGAACACCGAACCCCTCATTTCTGGTCCCATCCCAAAGCCTAGGGGGGCTCACTAAATCTACTAGCTGTGGAAACCCAGAAAAGTTAATCAGGCCTGTGGGAAGCTCTGACTCTTGGTCTTTCCTTCCCCCCAGAAGGGCTGGAGCACCAGGGGAGTGAGGAGTTTCATTTGGTGGCCACATTAATGAGAGTTGGGTTGCTGTTTTTTTGTTGTTGTTTTTTGCCTCTCACTTTAGTGTGACCCCTGACTGATTTTTCTGTGGATCAGTGGCCCCCAGCCCTAAAAGTTTCCTCCCGCACCATAAATAAAGACAACGTGGAAACCTTTTGTTTTGGACACAAGTTAATATTTTACTTTATTTAAAACTAAGTTTGGTAAACTAACATAAAGCATTTCAACTGTTAAATTATTTTGATTTTGATTAATATTTCCTTTCTTATTGGCTATACATGCCCCCCATATGTTATAGTTATGTATTTAAGTTTTTATGCTCAGTATCCTAATATGAATAATTCAGTATTTAAGGTATTTAGAGATAAGCAAAGGCATTTTGTTATCATGGGTGGTTGGCTAGTGGTCCATGGAAAGGTTTGCATTGAGCATCATGGGGCCCGGGCCAAAAACTTTGTGAACCACTGCTCTAAAACCTTCCCCATTCTCCAGAAAGTTTCAGCAATAATTGTCACTTTTCTTATTGTTAATTCCCTCAGTTTCTTGAAGAGTGCTGTGTGGAGCCAGTATCTTGCATACGTTCAAAGTGTTCACTTACTTGATTTTTACAAGCCCTTCCTTGTTTCCTAATTGTCCAAACCCATTATTTCATTTGCCCCTTAAATATCTTTTTTCCTAAAAGTTAAATATCACAGCCCTTTAAAAATGATTAATTTCATGCCTCTTCTCATTCATTCATAGACCTTGTTCTTTGTTCCCCCATATATTTTAAAAGTCCCTTTAATTTTAATGCAGTGAGTTAGTATGAACTCCTCTGCTTTATTCAAATCATTCTCTTTTCCCTGTGTTACAAGGATCATGGAGAAAGTTTTCCTACATAACCCTGTTTTCTATTTTCTTTTCAGGTTATTAGTGTGGTTTTTATTCTATCACGTCTTCTTTCACTTGTCTCATTTCCTCCTATAGAACTCAAAACATTTTCTTCACAAAACCATACCTTATCTCCTCTCCTTATTGCCCTCATTTTTTGCCTTCACAATCACCCAACAACTCCTGCCACCAATGTCATCTCTTCTCAGCGTGTCCCACTGGTCTTCCCAGGTATCCCAACTGCATCTCACCCTCTTCCTTTCCCTCTACTATTTGCTAGAAGGACAGGACTCTCTACATGCCCAATACTTTATTAATTGGAAGTGGCAATCGAGTTGTTTTAAATGGTGCCATGTAAAGCACTTGAATTGGAAAAATTTATAAGCAATCATCATCATAAGAAAAAAATCTTCTTTGATCCCAGATACCAAGTCAGTGTCTGGAACCCAAGAAAAGCCAGGAGCTAGTACAGCTAGACCCCTTTTCAGGCCTGGATTGTTTCTTACCTTTAGTACCAGAAATTGCTCCTGTATGGTCTCCCAGATTCTTGACTCATCCTTTCAAACACTCAATGCTGTTCCAAATGCATCCAGCCCCTCTTCAGAGCCCTACACTGGCTCCTCTACACTCAGCACATCAACTTCAAGCTCCTGGTCTTCACCTTAAAGGTTGCACAGTTTAGATTCAATCTTCTCTACTCTTCTATTTTCCTCAAGCCACATGCACCTTTGGGTCCTTCTCACCCTCTATGCTGCCACCTTGATTTTATCTCCCAGGCCTCCATCTGCTCCTTATCCAAAGCCCTCCTGAAACACCACCTCATCCAAAAAGAGTATTAATTCCACCACCCCTCTTTCTTAGCCCAACTTTCCATCTTCCACAGATAGAGAAGCATCAGCAAATATTTCTTAGACTTAACTCATCACGTCAGTGACTGTGTTTGAAGAGTGATTTTGAAGAGTGATTTTTCCTGGATGTCTGAACATCATTGAAAATTTTGTGGAAATTGCTGCAATACATATAATTATAATAAAGTCCAGTAATATAAAATCTATATAAAATATCAAAACTTGTGGAGCTAGACAGATACTAACCCCCGGAACACATTATTGTCCTACATCATCTCCTTTGAGGGTTTTTTTTGGGGAGGAAGGGAGTACTCTATGGGCAATTTCGGGCAAGGACTTCACCTTCAAAACAGTGCGTAAAGCATCCAGCATGCCATTTGTGAAAAATACCTAAGAATGTCTAACTATAATGTTTTGGGCTCCAAAATTTCTTAAGGAGCACCACTACAGGCCAGCAACATGAGAAACCTCAGGATTGTGACTTTATGATCTTTGGGGCCCAGAACTAGGGAGCAGCAATGCAGAGTGACACTGCAAGGACCCCTGGGATTAGACCCATAAATCAACACTGCCACCTGTCCCAACTGCTAACAACAGCACATTGTATTCACCAAATATCTGATGCCCGTGCTCCAAACAAGATATAAATCATGCTTTTACAATATAATCCACAACTGCTTCCTATTGTGGGTGTGATACACAGTGACATGCATTTGTCTTGGGATTGCTTTACCTTTAGCATATCCTTGTATCTGCCCATCTCCGAGTGAGCAGTGATGAGGCAGCCCAAAACCCGAAACCTGCCAGCAGGATCCGTGGTCTTTTCCAAAACCCTCATCCAGACTTGCAGGGCTTTTTCTGTCTGGTTAGACTGGTAAAGCTGAAGTCCTTTCTCTATCTGCTGCTTGGTCTGGTCCTGGCCCATCTCCTTTGCATCAAAAAGCCTCATATACTAACCTTTTGAGACATCAGCAGCAAGAAGTCAGAGAGAACACAGAAAATGTCCTAAAGCAGGAGGGTGGATTTCATGTTCTAGAGAGTTGGGCCATAAGACCCTCAGACGCTTCAGGATGCAGGAATGTCAGCAGGAGATGGTGAGTAGAGGGCAGTAAAATCTTTAAGGCAGAATCTGAAATCTACTAGGTAAACATCTCATGTACTGAGACCCCATCAGAACAGTCTGCAGCCCAACCTCACAAAGAAAGAGGAAGGAAAGAAGAAAAGTGCAACAGAGAGAGGGGGGAAAAAATCCCAACTGGCTAGAGTGAAATTCAATCGGAATGGCCACTCCTGGGCATCCCCTCCCTATTGGCTACAGCTGTGCCTGCCAGTCCTGGTCACATGGCTTCACAGGAATGTCAGTCAGTCTTAGTAACGCCAAGGTCACAGTGAGCCAACTGCTTCCACCTCCTCCTTCTCACCCCCAGCCTGCAACATATATAAATACCCCAGAGAAAGAATCAGCAGCAGTGACAGGGCTGTGTCAGTAATCTTTCTCTCCTCTTCCATCACTGGGCATTTGAAGTTTCTTTGAAGAAGATTTAATCCTCCTGCTTTTTTTATTGGTACCCATCACGCTGGAGTGTGAGGCTCTCAGTATCACATAAGGCACAGATGTTCATCCCTCTCTGAATGCTTTGGTGACTGGGATTGCAAAGTGGCAGCACCATCTTTTTCCTGCCAATCCTCAGTGACCAAGGTCCTGAGATAATCAGGCTGTCAAAAGCCTTAATTCTTGAAACTCTTGGTATCTCGCATCTAGTGGTAGATGGGGTATTGGCAGTCTTACCCCTTGAAACTCTGGGAGACTGTGATCTGAGGACAGATGGGCAACTTCGTACATGGGAGTTTCCAGAGCCCTGGTCTGAAGCTAGTTTAAAGGCTTGTTCCATTGTGGGAGCCTGAACTTCATCATCTTATAAGATCTGTTTTTAAATGAAGTACGTATTGTACATTTTAAGGGAATATGGATCTCCCCCAAACAGTCCAGACATTGTGTCTGTTACTAATTGGGATAGATTCCTGGCAGGAACGCGAACAAACACAAAGAAGTAAAAAGTAACTATTTAACAACACTAGGTAGAAGCAGGCAGAGTTGACAAGGAACTGAGGGTGGTTAGCCTGTGAGGCCCTATATATCCTTGCTACAGGCCACGAGGGTGTGGAGAGTGCATGCATGAGCTGAACAGGCCCTGCTACCAAAAATCTCTGATCAGTGGTGCAGTGGCATGTAGGAACCTGAAATGGAGAAACTATGGGATCATTACTGGATCACTTTGCACTCCAAATATAGGATTCGTTCACTTTACTCCGGAAGCAGAATTTTACTAGGCTTGTGAAAAAGGCAGCTTTGAAATCCTTTCCTGCATCTTCTAAAAAGGACAGGAATGGAAATTAGATTAATTCTTTTAGGAATCAAGTTTCTAGATACAAAGGACTTATCTCCTCTGATCTGCTGCATTTTAGTGCTCTGATCTGGGATGTCCTGGATCCCGAATAGTGTGTTCACTTTCACTAGAAAAGGATCCGGAACTTGGCAGACCAATGGATGCCTAGATTTCATCTCTCCACCAGATGGCCCATCAGACATGGGGTTGCTAATCTGACTGAGCCTACCTTGTGCAGCATCATGTGAGAAAGTGGAAATTAGCATTGACTAATACACTAAATTGTAGAACACAAATCAAAAGATAGGAGCTATGTCCTACAGAGAGAGAATGCATTGAGGCTCTGGGATTCTGAAAATCCCCTCCAATCTTTTTATTTAGGGCATTCTTGGAGGAGATAAAGACTTTCAATGGGAGAGGATTGACTGGTCTCTGTCAGAGGTGAGCCCCCAAGTGACTCCCATTTAGGGAGCATATATAAACCATCTGTAGTGTCCAGATCATTGTATTTGTCATCTTGTTTCTCCATGGAATGCACTGCAGGACCCTGCATCCTATATGGCTTCTGTGTGCTAAAGCGAAGGTAGACATAACTGCTCTTCCTGAGGAACAGATGGCTACAAAGGGGTTAAATAAAAGTACTTTGACAGCCTGAAGGTGTCTTTCATATTTCCCGTAGGAGTGTGTCTCTGTGTGTCTTGGGAAAAAAATCCCTGAGGCTGAACTCCTCTTTGAGGGAAAAAAAATCTCTTGAAATTTCTGGGCCAGGAAAAGCAGCTAGGGGCTTTTTTTGGGGGGGGGGAGGGAGGTAGGGAGGCTGCAGGCTTGACCAACTGGATAGGGGCATCAGAGTAACAGCCACCCAAGTGAAAGCAAGATCTTATTTTCTCTGTACTGTAAAATTTCACTCCATAGTCTAAAAATCACTGATTCAACAGACTGGTCCTTGCTGTTTTCAGACCACCTTACTCAGGCACTGCTCCCCACTAGTCACCATTGTCTTCATGTCCCTGTGAGGGACATGGAGGCTGTGGAATACTTTGCCCGCTCTAAAAATGATAGGTCTCTGTCTTCAGTGGGACAGATTTGTCCTACATTTATGACCACAAACCTAGTACCTTTTTACCTTTGGGTTGGACTCTGTTCTGCTGCAAGCCACAGTCTCACAAGAATGCAGTTGCTACAACTGGCTTCTTGCTGAGATGGACAGACAAGTGAGAGTATGTCACAGCAGCTAAGGAGTTGGGGGGAAGTTCCAGGAAATGTGCTGAGCTGACAGAGAAAAGCCA